CGACCTGGCCGACTCCTCCCACCACACGACCACGAGCCAATCCCATAGTTCTGTACAGAGTTACACAGTATCCATGCGGGAAAAAAAAATCCAAAAATTCCAACCCTCCCCAACACCGGATCTGCTGCTTTTTTGGGGGTTTTGCTCTTTTTTTTTCCTTTTTTTTATCCTAAAGTTACAGTTCCAACACTTGAACACATAGAAACAACGGCACAAAGTAGGAAAGATGCTGGATCCCAAGGCATCCAGAGAGGAGAAAACGACAAAAACCAAACAGGAGAAAACTGAGATTTCTCTCCCTCTGTTTTAGAGGAGGTTACTTGACCGGAAATCAGAATTTTTTTTTTGGCCTTATTTCTGAAAATGCAAAAAGGTGCTTTTTCAGCCTCTCTTTGACCTGCCTCTCTACCACCTCTGTCGCCTACAGTAACAGCCTCTTTCCTGCTTCTCCTCCAGCACAGAAAGCCGGGCCAGACCTTGCAAAAAAAAAAAAGATCATTTTAACAGTATAAAGCTTCAAGTCACAAGTTCCAAAAACTAACTATAATTATTATTGTTATCATTAATAGTATTAATAGTATTCATATCGTTATTATTTAAATCACATAAACTTTACATGAAATGTTTGAGGTATTTCAGAATAAATTGTCAACACGTGCCAACCAGATCTGACCACCAGCCGCGGGGGGGGAGGGGCCTCGGTCCGGGGAAGGGGGCGGGGTCTCTGGCTTTCTGCTGAGCAGCAGCCTATCGTGTTGAGGAACGGTAGTAGTGGGCGGGGACCAGTGACACTTGGCATCAAGACTGGCTGCCGATATGGACACAACCCATTCACAGCAGTCACATTGCACCCACTCTCTCTATATATTACAAAAAATAGCTCTAGGTGGAGGGCCAACATGACTGAGTGTACCAGGTCCATTTCTACAGTAAGGTCACTGAATTCATACCCTTATAAAGAAATATATACAGCTCATAAAGGGGGGTTTCAGTGTGACCCAGGGAAGATCGCACCTAATTCCAGTAACACATTTATCTTCTGCTAGTAACAGGTCTGTCAAATAAATATGAGAATAAAATAAATAAGTAGACTTCACACCCAGTAAAGTGCTTTTTCCTCGTGTTGTGGTAACGGACCTGTCTGACCCCATTGCAGGTCCCTCCTGTGCCTCCCCACTGTTTCATATCACGTGCCTGAGTGTGTGAGTAAGTGTGCGAGTGTGTGTGTATATGAGTGTGCGAGTGTGAGTAAGTCTGTGTGTGTGAGTAAGTGTGTGCGTGTGAGAGAGTGTGTGTGTGAGTATGTGAGTGTGTGTGTGTGCAAGTGTGTGCGAGTGTGTGTGTATATGAGTGTGGGAGTGTGAGTAAGTCTGTGTGTGTGAGTAAGTGTGTGCGCGTGAGAGAGTGTGTGTGTGAGTATGTGAGTGTGTGTGAGTGAGCCTGAGTGTGAGAGAGTGTGTGTGTGAGAGTGTGAGAGAGTGTGTGTGTATGTGAGTGTGTGTGAGTGAGCCTGAGTGTGAGTGAGTGTGTGTGTGAGTGTGTGTGAGTGAGCCTGAGTGTGAGAGAGTGTGTGTGTATGTGAGTGTGTGAGAGTGAGCCTGTGTGTGAGAGAGTGTGTGTGTGAGTGTGTGTGAGTGAGCCTGAGTGTGAGAGAGTGTGTGTGTGAGTGAGCGTGTGAGTGTGTGTGAGTGAGCCTGAGTGTGAGAGAGTGTGTGTGTGTGTGAGTATGTGAGTGTGTGTGAGTGAGCCTGAGTGTGAGAGAGTGTGTGCCCGCAGTGTTGGGGACAGGCCAGGAGCAGTGAGCGCAAGGCGGGTGGGGTCAGTCCAGGGCAGTGTCCCCCCCTCGGCTGCGTCAGATCAGACAGGCTGGAAAAATCTTTGGTATCAGTGGCGGTTTCACAAACCACACAGCTCAGTGAGGTAGCCACACTGGTTCTCACTAGAAACAAGGTTATTTTTAAAATCATATATATATATTTATATATCCTCGTCTGGAAAAAAAATGCCTCTTAATTTCCCATCTCTCTCTTCGGTTAGAGAGAAGCTCCCCCATACCTCAGAACGCCTCTCCCCACGCCCTTGCTGCAGTTCAGAAATACCACGCTCGGGACTGATTATCTAGCTTAAAGACGCGGAGGCAGACCGTGATATTTCAGAACCGTAGCAATGTTCTCATGAGGCTATCCCACCCCCCTCCCCCCACCCTAAACACTAACGAGGGTAAATGAAGAATGGAGATTTTTACACCTTCGACACAAGACATCACCCTGGAGCATAGCACAGAGGATGCTGGGATGGGTTCAGGCTCCAGGTGAAAGGCCAGAGGTCATTCCCAACATGCCGTGTTCCTGCTCCTGCCTCTGTGGTTTTATTTCCATCTGTCAGTTTTTTGTGTGTGTCTTTTTCTCACCCCATTTTGAAATCAATAATTGCCTCTGGTCAACCATACGAGTATTCACAAATAATGCAAAAAGTTCGAAGTCCCTCTTCGGTTTACATCCCTTTTCCTTTTATCAAGTCTGTTCTTTTTTTTTTTGGTTTAGTCAACAAGGTGCCTCACGCATAGTTTCTGCACAACAGAGCACAAAAGAAGTAACAAGAAACAGAAACTCTGTGTCTATGGTACTATTTACCCGCATCAGTATGTAGATAGAAGAAAGAGAGAGACAGACAAAGGAGATTGGAAGAGATGAAAGAGAAAGAGAGAGAAAGAAAGAGCTTTAGTTTTCTTAAAATCGCCAGTCTTTTGTTGCTGTTGTCCTCTTGAGGTTTTGATTTAAAATGTTTTTTTCGTTTGATTTTTTTTCCCCTTTTTTTAAAAATAAAGACGTCTTGCATGAATCAAAAAATCGATTGTGGTTGTTATGGCACAGGTCGCCCTCTAGGGAGCGCTGTAGCTGAGTGAAAGCAGTACCCTCTTCACTGATTATCATTAAGGCAGTTGTCATTGGCACTATATTGTAATATTTTCTCAGAGTGTGGCCGCTGAGCGCAGCGCCCCCTGTCTCAGCGGAGGCTTAAAGTCTTTGCTCCATTTCCACTTTTGTGTTTCCTCCCCTCGACGTTTCCTCTTAAATCTTTGTTTGGTTCTTGATGCTTTCTTCTTTTTTCTTTGGTAACAGAGAGATGAGGCTTGTAAAAGTTTTCATTTCAATCCATCAGAAAATCCAGCACTGCCCATCCACCCATTTCAGACGACAACAACCCCAGGGCCGACCGCGGGTGTAGGTGTCCGGGTCCGTGACTCCTGACAGGGATACTGGGTCCGGGGATCAGCCCAGCCAGGACCGGAATCACGGACGACCCTCTCCGATCCGCTTCCTGGCGGAGCAGCAGGGCAGTCTGGGAGGATGGCGAGTGCTGATTCTGGGCTGTGGCTTCACGTCCCGTCTGACCTCACCAGCCCCCAGCAGACAGCCGGAAGAGCCTCCCAGGTTTTCCTGCCGTTTTTTTTTCAGGAATTCTATTCGCCCTTTTGGAGTGGCTGCAGTTTCTGGATCACCTGGGCGGCGTCTGTCAGGCTTCACTTTGTCAGTGCGTGCAGGGGGGGTGCTGGCTGCCGTCCTCCATCGGGCCAGCAGGTGGCGCCAGTGTGTGACGTTTTCTTTCATGTTCAGCCAGACTTTCTTTCATTTTCTGTTTTCTTTCTCTTTTTAGCATAAAAAGAGCTCCTGTACTGAGCCCATCCTATATACTTTAGAGCTCCAAGAGAGAGAGACCACACGAGCTATAGGCGGACAGGACCTTTGGGAAGAACGTCTCCCCTTAGTGGTCCAAATGGAGGAAAGCAGCTGTGACTCAATCCGGTCCCAGAGGAACCCGGTCTTCACAAGGCTTGGAAATCTGTGCAAAACTGGGAGCCTGCTTGCTTTTTGTCCTCTGGGTCCCAGGTCTGGTTTTTTTTAAGGAAGGAGGGGCCATGGAATTTCCTTCTTCTGCTCGGTAATTGGTGTGTCACGTTGGGTGATGCAATTAAAAAAGGTCTATTTGTAAAAAAGAAAGTTGACACCTGTAATTCATACTTTTTTTTTCAAAGCCTTACCTTCAGAGTACTTTCATCCTGCAGTGAGAGAGCTCACGGAGGGGGGGAAGAGTGAGGCGTATTGGATGTTTGCTGCTGATCTTCAGGTGCCTGTGCTCTTCAAAGAGGAAATTCAAGTGATAAGGCTGTGTGCTGCGAGATTTATCCCCTTTCTTTAATGTTCTTCCTTTATAACCAATGAAATGTGATGGAGACCCTCTCTGGCTTCACTCTACAGTGATGAACTTTACCAAAGGCATCTGCAAAAGCCAGACAGGCTGGAGAGGTCAGCAGATTGTGTCCTGAAGAGCCAGCAGTGATTAAAAGGGAAGTCTTGAGCTAGAAACAAATAGCAAGAAAATAAGGAAATTAGATCGCCCCCACGTGGACGGAGGACCAAACTACATCGGCCAGTGGGCAGAGGTGAGATGGGGTGGGGAGCGGTCGGATGGACAGGCAGACAAAGTGAGACCGGCTCGGCGCTCTCTGTGTCTGTGTCGGCGACTCAGGCCTTGGAGAAGGTGGTGGCGGAGGTCCCCGGCTGGCCAGGGCTGGCGCCGTGCTCGTCGTGCCAGCGGTCCACGCAGCGGCGCCGGGCGTTCATGAAGAAGTTGCTGACGGTGTTGAGCTCCAGCCCCAGCTGCTGCGAAATGGTGATCTGCATCTCCTTGGAGGGGCGCTTGTTCTCCTTGAAGATGGCGATCAGCGTGCGGCGCTGCAGGTCGGTGAACACCAGCCGCTGCTTCTTGGGCGCCATGCTGCGGTCCTTGTGCTGCTCCTGCTCCTTGCGCTTGCAGGCTGGGGGGAGGAGCAGACAGGACAGCGGAGTGAGGGCTTCTGGGAGGAACAGCGGCAGGCAGGGCGGGACACTCTGGGGGTGTGCATGTGTGCGTGTGAGTGCGTATGTATGTGTCTGTGTGTGTGTGTGTGTGAGTGCATATGTACAGTATGTGTGTGTGTGTATACAGTATGTGTGTATCTATGTGTGCAAGTGAGTGCATATGTATGTGTCTGTGTGTGTATATGTGTGTGTATACATATCCGTGTGTGTATGTGTGTCTGTGTATCTATGTGTGTATCTGTGTGTGCGTGTGTGTGCATATGTTTGTGTCAATGTGCCTGTATCTGTGTGTATATGTATCTGTCTGTGTGAGTGTGAGTGCATATGTACGTGTCTGTGTGTCTGTATCTATGTGTGTATAGTTTTGTGTATCTGTGTGTCTCTACGTATCCGTGTGCATGTGTCTGTATGTATGTGTGTGTATCTTTGCGTATCTGTGTGTGCATATGTATGTGTGTATCTGTCTGTGCATGTGTGCTGTCCATATTAATGCTGCCCAGTCTGCTGTGTTTCCCCTCCTGTGTGCGAGACAGACAGACAGACAGACGGAGCCCCACTTGTTCAGGACTGGGGGGCAGGGGGAGCTCGTGGGCTTTCCTGGGGTTTTTAATAACCACATCTTTACTGGGGCTCCGAGGAATTCCAGCTTCCCCCCTCAAAAACTCCAAATGAAATAACCAGGCAACAGGAGGTCACTGCAGGCAGTGGCTGAGAGACTGTGTAGCTGTGTGCGAGTGTGTGTGTGTGTGTGGGGGGGTTAGTGGAGATGCTACACCACTCCTCAACAGCTCCTCTTGCTGCACACCTCTGCCCCTGAGCCAAGCTCAGCCACAGCGCCGCAGCCCAGCCCACTCCTCCTCCCCCCCAGTGTATAATTGTGCTGAAGTAGCGGCCCCTCTCCTGTCCCTCTCTCTGTCTAATTACAGTGAGGGAAGACGATCGATCTCACTCTCCGTCAAATCTGTTTACCGCTGCTGTCTAAGCCCCCCGCGCGCCTCCATCATTTTCATATTTTACAGCACGGCTGCAGCCTGCAGCCACTCCACACCCTCCTGCCCGCCGCGCGGCCACAGCGCAGCACCTGCCCC